TTGTTTAGGAGGGCGGGGGTGGGGGAGGGGTGGCTGGATGGTGCAGCGGCGGCGGAGGAGGAGGAAGAGAATCCAACAACGATGAGTTAGTCAGCCAATACTCTCGTAGCAATGGATTAAGGTAGTTAAAAATTCAGGACTCGAAAATTTTGATAAACCTCGCGCGCGCGCGCGCCTCCGTATCGACCGGAGCTTTCGACCTATCGAACCCCACACCGCCGCTCCCGCCGTCCACGGATAATCGCCGATCCGCGGAACAAAGAGATCCGATCCAGGCCCAACGGGGGAGCGCGGAGCAATCGTCCTACCGAGCCTCCTCGAGCGACAAATCGAAGGAGCTTTTGTACTCCGCCGGCGGGGGGTCGTCGGGACGCGGGTAAAATTTTCAAGGCGTGGCGCGCGACGTGGCGCAACGAGACGCGACGTGGCGCAACGTGGCGCGACGTGACGCGACGCGGCCCGGCGCGGGGGTGGGGGGCGGGGCATGAAGCACCTCGGTCGGGGCCTGCGAGCCGCGAACCACGAGTCGCGGCGCGGCGAGTCCATCGAGTAGTGGGTCGATCCGGTGTGGTAAGCCGTAAAGTGAGTCGACGGGGAGCGAGCGAAGGGAGATAAATAGATAGCGTCGCGCTTGTCCCGCCATTCAGTCGGTCGACTGTCTGTGCGAGCGAGTGTGTCGTTGGGCCTCCGGCTGGGAGGTACATCGCGCGATACGAAGACCGAAACGGACCACGTGTTGCCGTGCGCGTGTAATCGAGCGCGAGAATGGACGATCATCGCGCGGCGATGAAGGACCACGAGGAGAAAGATGCCCCGGTCGAGAACGACGGGCTCACGGCCGCCCAGCTATTTGCCAACGGCGACGGCCTCACCTACAATGACTTTATTATACTACCCGGCTACATCGATTTTGCCGCCGCCGAGGTCGACTTGCACTCTCCCCTCACTAAGAAGATCACCCTCAAGACGCCCTTGGTCTCCTCCCCCATGGACACGGTCACGGAGGCGGAGATGGCCATAGCGATGGCCCTTTGCGGTGGCATTGGCATCATTCATCACAATTCCGCGCCCCACTACCAAGCCACCCAAGTCAAATGGGTCATTATTATTGTTTCCTGGACTTTTACGTGTTGCCGACTCCGAGGCTTTATTCCGTTCTTAAGCTATTGTCAATTCAGCATCCTTCCTCCTCTTTCGCCTGTTTCTCTCACTCCACCCCCCCACCCCCCCTTTTTAGGTGGTACACGGGAGCCGTGTGGTGTACGTACGTACTGTTGGGCACTTTATGCAACACGGTGGGGCCGGTTACGGGAATTTTCCCGAGCTCGCTCCTCGTTCCGGTCGCTTCACGCGTGTGGCCGCTCCTAATTCCATTTGCATTAAAAATTTTGTTTTCAAAACTATTCTCGCGCGAGAATTAACGTACCGCTCGTGACCCGCTGGCGATGCCAATTTCAGTCGCAGCATTTTTTATTCAAGATTCGTCGATGCATCGCATGGACATGCCCGTGACACGCGCGCGCGCGCACGTACACACGACACACACAACACACACATACACAGAGACAACACATGCTTCTTACGGATCCCAACTTTCGTATAAATACGCAAGCACGAGTTGTTTATGTAATTAAAAGTATAAAAAATGGCGGCATCGTAACTTACGCGCGCATTTGAAACGATTTTTTTCTTCTGCTTTTTTTCGTTTATCATTTTTCTTTTTTCTTTTTTCTTTTTTCTTTTATATTATATAGAAAGATGACGACAAAGCTCGGATTACGCTATTTGTTTTGTAAAATTATCCTCTTTGTTTTTTGCTTTTTGCTTCTTTATTTTTTTTTTTTTTTTTTTTTTTTTTTTTTTTTTTATATTTACACAATTTGACTTTATACCATTGGCAAAAGATTGATGAAAAATACATGTGAACAGCATTGATAATCCTATCGAGGAAAGTTTCGCGAAAATTCACTTGTCGGCAAAAACGGTTTGAAAATTTTCCATTTCAGCCGCTATTATTATTCCCTTCAAGACGAATGTCAGTTTTGGGAGATTGTAAATTAAAATAGAATGTGCCGGGTAAAACGGCAGCTTTTATTCTTAAAAATAATTGCAACATTTCGACGGTTATCGAGCTTAATTAATACGGGAGAATACGTTAAAATTTCACTTGTAAAAGGCATATGTACGCACACATGCGAATGCGACGTTTGAATTAAAATTGGAACGTCCCCGGTCAAATACTATTATTTTACTCTCGTCTCGACGATATCAAATTACAACGAATAATTTCATATTTATTAAATAACACTTGAAAGTCATTTTTACACGTGTTTTTAATAGAACAATAATTTATTTATTTTTTTTTTTATTATTTTTTTTTGAATTAATAATAAAAAAAATTGTTATTATACTTTATTGGATTGAATTGAAAAAATTGTTGAAGCTAATATGGAAATAAGGATACCCTGATTGAAGAAAGATTTAAATAATTTGTAGATTTTTGCATTGTAGATTTTAAAGTATGATTTTTTTTATACTTGCCCATCAATCTATAAATTATAAAATCTCAGTGTATCGCATCATGAAAAAATCAGGAAAAAATATATATACTTTAAATATTAAATTAATTTTGCTAATAAGATATTTCAAAACTTAAATCCTTTTACTTTGCATTATAAAGATATTACATAAATGACTTTTAAATGACTGTATATGTGCTAAATACATTCGTATTATATAAAAGTATGACAATAATCAAATTATAATATTTCATTTTGTATTTCCTGGTATTAAAAAATAATCTCAGCCCAGAATATTTATTGATTTTTAGAAGAGGCAATATTGTATTATCTTTTTTTTTTCTTTTATATAATTATGTTCTACATAAATATGAATGTAAATGATTAATAATATTATGAATAAATTAAAAGTTTTATTTAAAAGTAATATTTTTCTTATTATATAATTAGAATATTGATCTTTATTAAAACATTTAAGTACTAATACGCAAAATTAATTTGAATATTTTTAACCGTTTATTATTTTATATAATTTGTTTCTGTGCGCGCCTGCTTATATACCTAAACGTGCAAGTTTTATTTGCATAATATGAATTGTAACTAAATAAATGTTTTTATTTATTTAGGTCAAGGAATATAGACATGGCTGTATTAAAGATCCCAAAGTACTTTATCCATTTGATACAATCGAAGATGTGATAAACATTAAAGAAGCACATGGATTTTCTGGACTTCCAATAACCGAAAAGGGAAATATGGGTAGCAAGCTTCTTGGTATTATTACATCCAGAGACATTGATTTTCTAGATAATTCATATTATCAAAAAAACACTAAAGTAATATCAGTTATGACAAAATTTGAAAATTTAGTCACCGCACCAGTTGGTGTTACTATAAAAGAAGCCAATGCTATTTTAAAAAAAACTAAAAAAGGAAAATTACCAATAATTAATGACAAAGGAGAACTGGTAGCATTAATGTCGAGAACGGATTTGAAAAAAAATTTCGACTATCCAGGTGGTAGCAAAGATGAAAAGGATCGACTTTTAGTTGGAGCATCAATTAGTACTCGTGTTGTAGATAAAGAGAGAGTGAAATTATTAGTAGACAACGGTGTTGATGTAATTGTTCTAGACTCGTCGCAAGGTAATTCAATATATCAAATCGATATGCTCAAGTATCTCAAAGCACAGTATCCCGATCTTCAAGTAATCGCTGGTAATGTTGTTACCATTGGACAAGCTAAAAATCTTATAGAGGCTGGAGCTGATGGCTTAAGAGTAGGAATGGGATCGGGATCCATTTGTATTACTCAAGAAGTAATGGCAGTTGGTAGGGCACAAGCAACCGCTGTTTACAAAGTTTCTGAGTATGCCCGTAAGTTTGGAGTTCCCGTTATTGCAGATGGAGGAATTCAATCCGTTGGTCATATCACCAAAGGACTTAGTATAGGGGCAAGTACAGTTATGATGGGATCTTTGTTAGCGGGAACTTTTGCAGCGCCGGGCAGTTACTTCTTCAACGAGGGTGTTAAATTAAAACGTTTTAGAGGTATGGGTTCTCTTGAAGCTATGGACAGCAGAGGATCCCACGGCTCGGCATTGGACAGATATTTCCAAAGTGAAATAGATAAATTGAAAGTGGCACAAGGCGTTAGTGGATCAATTGTTGATAAAGGAAGTACTTTGAAATTTCTTACATATTTGCAATGTGGTATTAAGCACGGTTGTCAAGATATTGGAGCAAAATCAATTACCGCTTTAAGGACAATGATGTATAGTGGTGAATTGAGATTTGAAAAAAGGACACATTCTGCTCAAAAAGAAGGTAACGTTCATGGTTTGTTCTCCTATGAAAAAAGACTGTTCTAAAATGAATGATAAAAAAAAAAAAACAAATGACAATTCATTTGATAACTTATGTTATAAATCATTACCTGTATTTCATGAAATGCCAGCGATATGGAAAACCTTAGTGATCTGACATAACACGTTTAATAATTTCAATTTAACGTGTAATAATTGTAAAAGAATTATTTCAAAGCATAAACGCTCCATACCTGGTCCTTAATTATAATTATTGTTTAACTTTAGAGTAATTATGAGCGATTCAAAACAAATATTTTTTTGACTCCTCCTGGTAGGTTTTTATGATTTTTTTAATTGTATAAGTATTAACCAGAATTTTTATACTTACTTATATCGATTTACTTCATTTTTAAATTTGTATTATTTTAAAAGTTAATAGAATGTTCATTAATAATACTTCACTGTATTTTGTAATAATATGCTGGTTATTAATGTTTACTTAATTATTGATTTTAATTGGAGACTAAAATCAGATATGCTTATGTACATAGATTATTTTATTTTTAAAAGTCTTATACAATCAACTTAATTTTACTTTTGAATAAAAAAAAAAAAGTAAAGCGTTAGAGCGATATAAAATTTTGAATATTGTATATGCCTTTCAACTTTTTAAGATAATTATAATCAAATTCGTATTATGTTAAAATTTTATATTCATTTTAATTCAACACTTAGTTAACTGTAATAGTTATTATTAAATAACATTATATCGTTTAAATATAAAACATTATTGTTTTAACAAGAAAAAGAGAAAGAAGAAAAAACATGTATATGCGACTATTTAATTTTACATTATTATTACTATCATCATTATTAATTTATAATTATTTCAACGAGTAATTAGATTTTGGAAGCGTTAGATGATAAATTTTGTACAGGTAACAATGTGTCAAACTATGTACATGTAAAATAAAATGTATTTTAAATTTGGAATAATCGCTATTGTAATTTATTTCATATTAGTTTTATAAAATATTCTTAAGAAAATACAGGGGAATCTTAGACGGATGAAAAAAAAATTGAAATGTACATACAAAATGGTTCTTTTAAACAAAAAAGAATTCGTCTGTTACAATATCTATAAAGAATATCTATTTACATCTTACAAAAAAGTCAATTATATTGTAATTAAAAATTATATACTATTTATTTTATAATACGCCTGAAACAACTGATCGAAAATCGAAAATATATGTATAAAAATTATTTTAGTAAATAAATTCATTTCATTCATTGTTTACAGTTGCAGACTAATCCAGTCTTCTAAGTTATATAATTAATTTATCATTAATTAATTTAACATTCATCTACGTTAATTCTAATGTAATTCTAAAAATATCAATTATTCGTCTTTGAAGCTAAAAAATACATCATTGATAAACAATATTTTAGCATTTTAAAGCTTATGTGTATTAAATATATATTGCGTTCAATATTTTTAGATAGCAATTTTGTGATAAAATATTATCTTCTCTGAATAATACCTGACAACTCGCTTAACAAGTCGTACGATTGGCACTATTTACTAGGAACCGTTCGTACGCATCACAATTTTTAATTTTGCATATACATATATCAAAACTAGGAGGGCTCGACAATATTATGCATAGCATATTTCCATGTCCACGCTCGAGCTACTTCTTCAAACCTTGTTCTATTATTCACATACATTTCACCTAATTCGGGTTCCATGCACACCTACAATAATCATTAACTTTCTTGATATGTTGCTTTAATAACTAGGAGATAAAATTTAATTGATACATTACCTGACAATAAGGATCTGTAAGTAAACTTTGTACACTAATGAGAACTTTAGATATTGTCAATGCCAATGACCAATTATGGTGTATGGAATCGATTCCAACATCTCCATGTCTAGATACATTTGGATGTAGTATTTTTGTTAGAAACCTTACTATGGGTGGTCTCATGGGATAACTAAAATGAATAATAGAGATAAATGTTGCATACAATTATCAAAAGGGAACCTTTCCTTCCATACGCTTAATAATTTGTGTTTAATACCTATACGGAACTTGAAGATAAAGATAAAAGAGGCCCCCTTCGTACGGACTGCCGGTCGGTCCAGTTATGGTTGCTTGCCAATGGCAGCACATTTGATCGAGAGGCGATGCTTCTATTCCCTCGGGTGGATCGCTTCTGAGAGCTTTCAACTCCATGCGCAATCTGTTTCGTCTCCAAGAATTTTCTTCGACTCTAAGTGGTTTAGTACGGTGCAGAGAAATTTGAGATAAACAAGTTTTACATGGAGCCGAAGAGGCAAGTTTATCATAAATCTTATACCAATTCCTTACATTTCCACCAGCTGGTTTAAATAAAGGCCATCTTAATTTAACATGTCGCTGCGATAATTCGGGGGTTATGTGAGTAGATAACAAATTACACCATCTTCGGCATACATTTGCTGCGCACCAAAGACTAACATCGTCTAAATGTGAAAATACTGCTAAAAGAACCTCGGGTGGTAATCTTTCTACAAGGCCCGATTCAGTAATTAACTTGTGCTCGATGTGTTTATAATTTGTTAACAAGTCAAGTCTCTTTGATAAATTCCATGGTCTAGATGGTTCACCTTTCTCCGCACAGGATACGTTATTGCTCTCCGGTTGAAATATTCCAGGATACTCGTGATTATCCAATTCGGGCTCTTCGCCCGGTACAGAATCTTCCTCGGAGCTTTGAAAATCTTCCTCGAGAACATCGTGTTGTAGATAATTTTCGACATCCTGTCGAATCTGCAAATTATCTAAATCTAAATGCAATTCATTGGGATCGCGATTACGATGCTCTGGACTATCATTGTGTTCCAAACGATCGATGTCGTCCTCGTTACTAACGTGCGGATCGTTGCATCTAGCAGGGACAAAATTATACTGCTGAAAAAATAGAGCACGATTATGATCCGGTGAATCCGATGGACTGGCAACTATAGGAGTAGACTCTTGCGAAGAATTTTGATCCGTTTGACTCGCTCTGCGCTCTGTATTATAATATAAGTCTACAGGTTCGTCATTTCCAGAGTCTTCGTCGTCTGTTTTCTAGAAACGAATTCATATTAATAAGACTGACTTGAGCAGCGTTGGTTCAATTCATAATTTTTATATTCACTTCGCTAAATATAGGTGCCTGAAGGATTCCAACATCATCGGGAAATAAAAATGCATGACAAGTTGAACAAACAGGCTCTCCAAAACAGGGTCCGTAATAACCATTACAAACATAGCAGGCATTGGTCTGTAAATTGACATATTAATAAATTGAATATAATGATAATTTAATGAGAATGACAATAGCTTCGACAATCATATCCTTGAATTATTTATTGAAATTGATCGATGAGAATCGGTGTTCTGGTATTATTCTCGTACCATATTAATCACTGCTTATTAATTACAAATATAATTTCATTATAAAAGTATTGACACTCGATAGATAAAAATACAGCTTACCGAGAATTCAAATTCCGGGCAAATAACAAATTCGGGACTTTCTTTAGCTTCGTCCTCCAAGTCTGAGCTTACATTCAAGTCATCCTTATCCGTCATGTTTTCACCATTCTCGACGTAACTAGCACAACAAATTTTATCTCCAGCCATGTTGACAGAATGCTGGACCCTACACTGTATACTAAAAACTGTACCTCTACATGGCTTTGCAAAAAACTTGTAGATGAAAGAGGACGAGGGAGATTTATCATACGAATAAGTGAAGGATTAAAAAGAGAGATAAGATAGGAGGCAGCACGGTACTGCTTTATAATAATTTTATTACGCTATTGCGTTATTGCGTTATTGCGTTATTACGTCGCTTGCCGCTTTCAATTAATCCACGAACATAGTACGACACACGTACACTAATTCTATATTATGAAGGCACCACCTCGTAAGTCCTAAATGGTGAAACCGGATCAAAAACATTACCCACGTGAACCATCACGGCATAAGCTTTAGAATTCTTCATACGTAAATACAATGTTTCTATGCTTTCAACCATCTTTAAATTTTGATTCACATGTCCTCTCTCCTATTACACGCCCAAAGGTTCAGTTTTATGTTTAAAGGCTATTCGATTATACACCACTTGGTCATAAACACGTGCATCGTCAATATATATATATATATATATATATATATATATATATATATGCATATGTATATTTTAGTAGTAATAATGATTATTCTTACTCTTATTATCAGTTATATAGGCGTCTTTTTCATAACTGAAAAGCTTGGGGGGGGGGGGGGCGGCAACATTGTCTCTTTAATAATTCAACTCATTCTATTTACTCGTAACTCTTTCACATATGCGCATTACTTTTTCGAATACTTCTTTAAAATGCCGATCATCGTCACTCTCTACAATACCGAGTCCATCTTTTACGTTAGGGCGGTTCTGTTCTCTTGTTCCAACATTATTTTTAAATAATAATTACATAGTTAATATTAAATTCTATTTAAAATTAGCTATGTATTGATCGGGGCAAAAAATCGAGTAAAAACTGCGCGTAACTCACATCCTCCCAAGCTCTATAAACAATATCATCCAACACGAATCCTATAAATATTTCATTCCATCTTTAATTCATACAATATAATTGTTAAAAAAAAAAAAAGAAAGAAAGAAAAATTAATATAAACAATTTTGCCAGTTTAATTAATTTCAAGAATTTTTAACTCCTACGAATAATAAAGTAATGGTAATTAATAACGTAGACTGAATACTTTTAAAAATCGTTAGATCAATAAGAACCAATGAAAACATATCATTAAAAATCTGCTGTTCGCGCCAATTAATTACATTGGGTCAGGTTAGGTTTAAGCAGTTGCTTAAATGTTTACGCAGATGAAAAAAAATTATTTAGCGACCATTTTGCAAGACGTTGCAGCAGGTGCCAAAAGTAACCAAAAGTAAAAATAATATTTGCGAGCAACGTGTTGTGTCGTATTATAGAGTTGGTGTCATAGTGTTTGCTTGTCATAATCCTTAACTTTTAAGTTTTATTTCATAATAGAAACTTCGAATGCAGGATTTATTGTCTTCTTTCGACACATTGCCATCAAAGCAGAATAGACGATTTAGATTTAGAAATAATTGCTATGATATGATGAATGATCGACGATAAAAGCGACTTCTGGTAGGGAACCATGAAACGAACAAAATGAAAAAGAATTACAATATTGGTACTGATCTCAGAATAAGTAATAATTTTGAAATTACAAGACGCTTATACAGGTACGACTAATTAGTTAAATTATTAAATGATATATGTTACAATGAATTGTAATTCGTTTATTTCAAAATCTTCGAACATAACCTTCGTAGATCAATATACTTATTTTAAATTCATTGTTATATAAATATTTCATCATATTTATAATATAAATCTACTCGTTGATCTTTATCAATAGGAATATAACTGAAATTGCTAAGAAACTGGAAGAGCAAAAAAATCATGCTCTTACAATCATCGATGTTTTTACACCAAGTGGAGAGGCATTACGATCTAAACTAAGAGATTATTGCGAGAGATTAATAATCGAAGATCCTGTCAATCATGTGCAAAAAACAGAAGAATTATTATGGAGAAGAGGATTTTATGATATTGTGGCTACTGCAAAAAAGTTACGAAAGGTATAATATATAAGATTTTGAATCGATTTTTATTACTTTCTTGGTTTCATTGAAAAATGTATCATTGAAAAATGTATTTATATCTTATGCTATATCGATCTTTTTATCGTTAGTCATAGTTAGTGAAGACATTTTACATTTTCTTCTCTAATAAATGTAATATTTTACATTTTATCGACAAATTTTTAATGCATAATTATTATTTAAAATAGGGAAATAACTGGAATGACATGGAAAAAGCATTTTTATCGGCACATTTATCCGTGGGTGTGGGATTTTATCATCACTTGATCTTGCGTTTGCAATTGGAATACGACTTAAATCTTACAGGTGTATTAGATTTTGCTTATCCACAAAGTCAAAAACAAACGGTTTATGTAAGTTTTGGAATAAATTTTAATTAAAATTTTGTTCATTCTAAATAGCACAAAAATCTTACGTATTCCATAACATTTGTCCCCTTACCTTAGATCGAGAAATGTATTAATCCATTGAAAATACAAACTGCAGAATTAAAAAAATGTGTCTTTCATTTTATCCATCGAAGCTTGGTGTGCCTTGGAGATTTAGCAAGGTATAGATTGGATCTTGATCCAAATTGGGATCCACAAATCGCCACAAGATATTACAAAATGGCAGTTGCCGTTAACAACAAACACGGTATGCCACATAATCAAATGGGCACAGTAGCCAGTAACAGAAATTATGGACTCGACGCCGTGTATCATTACATGAGAAGGTCGGTAATACTTTTGGTGATATTGTAAATTAGCAAAATTATAATCATTAATATTAATGTATTGTTAGATTTTTATAAATTTCTTGTTTTTCCTGAATTTTTTCAAACGATGGCCAACTAACATTTATTTAATAAGACATCAATTTGTAAACTATTGAAAATCTACAGTTTAAGATATTAAAGACATATCCATTCTAAATGATGCTTATACTCGGTATACAGTTAAATTTGATTGTTAATATGGGATTTTTTAAAAAACTGTTAACTTACAATGGTATAATGAAATTTGTACATTTGTACGCATCATTTTAATTCATTGGTGTGTAATTTATATAATCATTAAGTTTAATTTTCTTTGTCGTTATAATTGATTGGTATATATATGACTTTCCGAAAATTATTGTTAACGTATTATTTAACGTCGTTTCAGTATTTTGTGTCAAGAACCATTTGAAGGAGCCGAGGGTAATTTAAAAAGAACTGTTACCGTTCATGCCTTTAATGGTAAAGAAAAATGTTTAGCACAATGTTGCGTTGCAAGATTACTTTTATTACTACAATTGTGGGACAACAATTCCATGAATACCGATCGCATTAATCAAGAAACGCAAGTAAATATAATAATATTTAATCATAATACCGTATTTCTATTATTTTATTTTATTATTATTTTTTTTGTTTTTTTTTTTAAACATTTTTAGCTCCTCCTACAAGATATTGAAAATTGTTTAAATGTTAAAAAATCTCATAATATTGACTACAAATCTGCTGAAAATCAAGATAGTATCGAAAATTATTTGTCTTGCTATAAAAACTATGAAGCCTCTAATTTAACGGACGACATGATTTTCAAAATCATTGTCATTTGCCTCATGAAAATATTGAAAATACAAATGAAAGAATCGAACGACGCCCATGGAATTATAACTTTTGTATTAGCTGTATTTTCTCAATTAATACAATTCGTTGTTATGAGATTGCAAGAATCACTCCTAAATGTATCTGTGGAAAATAGAAATAACAAATTAGAGATTATGAATGATGATACTGACGAGATTACTAATAGCGTGCACGATACCAATGAAGCTGAAAATAAAAATGAAAACAACAATGACTTAAAAATTCGTCCCCATAAATCTGATTGCTTTAACGATACCAAAAAAATTGAAGTAAATGGCAATCATGTAGATGAAAAGATAAAAAAACATAGAGACAAATCAAAATATCTTTTGACAAAGCTTCGACGACCACGCAATCGTAGAAATAGCTCCGATTCCGACGCCAGTGATGGGGAAGTAACAGTTTTAGAATCATCGAGCGAAGACATAAATTCTGATGTTACTGAAACGGAGGCCGATGTTTTGAGCGATGAGAATATTCTATCGGATGAAGTTTTATCTGACGATTTAACGGATGACGAAAACCCTGCTACTGGAAAAAAAACTGATAACAAAGATACCGTTAGCGAACAAATTAACGGGCACGATAAAGATGAAAAATTTATAGAGGAAAGTGAGAACGAAGATCAAAATGACGTGACAAAAATTATTGTAAATAATAAGGGCAAAGAATCGGAGGATAAAACTGAAGTGACAAAAAATTCAAACGAATCCTGCGACGAAAATACTACTTTAATAAATACACTTCCATATATCGCTCAAAAAGAGAAAAATCCAATCAAAGTTTTAGCAGCTTTAAATAACGAAAGAATATTGATTTCTATTAAAGTTTGTTGTGATTGGTTACAAGGGCATCACGATATTATAAGGACATGCACCAAAGAATCAAAATCATTGTTAAAACGATTTATTGCATTGCTAAATTTGATAAATCTTGATGGCGAGGATCTTCTTAATAAATGGAACAAGGAATTAGAAATTTTTTCATGCTCAGAAAAGCTAAAAGAGACCGTTGAAAGTGTACCTCTACCAGAGGACATTGATGTAAGAGGTTTGAAAATGTTTGAAAACGCTCATAAAAATATTAATTGGGAAATTTTAAGAAGAAGAAAAGTAATGGAATACGAAGAAACGTTGTTAAGAGCTCTCAAGATAGTTAAATTTGGTCATTATTTATGTTTGATGAAAGATTCTGGAGTTATATATGATGATAATCAAAATTTATTTATTGTACTAGATCAAAAAAATAATATAAAGAAAGAAAATCAAATTGATAATAAGATTCTGGAATTAGATCATTCAAAAGGGAAGCTCATGAGGCATATGGGTAAATTGTGGCTTAAAGCAGAGGTTCGGGCTTTAGAAAATCGTTTACATTTTAGATTAATGTCTCCGTACTTGGTGCCGGATCACGAAGCCTTTTCAAAATTCATGCCCATTCTAAAACACTTGGTTTATGCTAAAAAGTTTATCGTTGTTATTCCATCAGTTGGTAAGATTGAGATATGAATTTATTTATTTGTTTCTCTCTCTCTCTCTCTCTCTCTCTCTCTCTCTCTCTCTCTCTCTCTCTCTCTCTGTTTTACCTTCCTTTTTCTTTCTTTCGCTAATGTATAACATAAATTTATAAATATTGCATTTTTTTTTTCTTTTTTTAAGTGGTATCTGCGCTAGATGAGCTGAAGAAATCAAGTATTCATGCGAGAGAAGCGACTAGATGGCTAGAAACTCAATTACAATGTGGATCTCAATTTTTAAGAGCACAAAGACCTCACGAAAAATTACCATTACCTTTAATCAAAGAACCAAAATCCAAAGATAAAGAAGCTTGGCTATACTTCCAAATAATAGAATGTTGTCATTATCTAACTCAACAAAACAAGGCAGGCGACACGGAGATTCCAGTTGTGACATTACTAACTGGTATCGACGATAAAAAAGTATTTAGTTTCAGTCCAGATGGGTTAGCTAAAAGTGCCGGTTAGTATAAAATAAAAAAATAAAAAAATAAAAAAGAAAGAATGAAATTAATGCAAAATTAAAATTCATAAAGGGAATTTGAAATAATTGATTCTGTTATATTTACGGTATAGGTGTGAATTTCGAACACATCAGTGCTTTTCATGCAAAATGGAAATTGTCTGTTAAAAGTCATGGTTGAAGGAAAACAAACGTACATTGACATTTGAATTTTGTCGAGTCAACAGAGAAATAAATGCTCAACTTGCCTTTTGAGCTCTACACGAGAGTGCAAGTACAAGAATGGTTGATTTGGCGAACAAGGGTTGGAAACCCAAGAAGGGGCTCGCTTATAATGATACGCTAGCTTCGGCCCCGCCGCCTAGCCATCCGAGAAGCGACATTTTTAATAAATCTTAAACATTTATTTAATTATTGAATAAAGTTATTGTGTTTTTAATTAATATATTTGCATTTCAATCGTTCACCCTCCTATCTCCATTCTGGACAAGATTAGGTTTTAGGGCGATAGGGAGAATATTGAAAGGAAAAAAGGCACCAACCGAGCGAACGATGGAATAGTGACTTTTGTGTCGATCGATTGGTAGCTCAAATAACCTGTATAAATTCCTGAAAATCGGACACTCCTTAAGAGAACTGCACAGCTACGATGTGCATAAAATCAATCGTGTAAAAGAAAATATAAATAAGTCCTCTGTAATATATATATATATATATATATATATATATATATATATATATATATATATATATATATGCATAAGTTTATGTATATCTGTATGTATGTATATATATATATATATATATATATATATATAAGTAAATCGATATAAGAAATTTAATTATTATTTAAAAGTTAATGGTCGGATAGTAATTTAGTTGATTCAGAAAATTGAACGGTGCGTAGACCACTTGATATAGACCACGTAGACACTTGTTATTGAATCAAGTCGGCGCGTGATGCTCGTCTGTATTATTTTGTATTTCCTCGGAGAAATAAAGTTAAACGTGAAATTTCACGTAGTTAACTTCTTTCAGGACGAAATCAAAAGTGTAGGTCGAAGCAACGTCAATTAAAGTGCTTCGACGTGCCGCTGCTTGTTTTTCCCACGTTTTCACAAGGAAAAATTGAAGGCATCGAAACTAACGAGTCATCAACGAATCCAAGATGGCAGAAGGCCAGGACAGTCAGAAGAAAATTACTATTACCATTAAAACGCCCAAAGACAAACAGAGCGTTGAAATCGAAGAAAATGCGACTATTAAAGATGTAAGTGTAGCAATTATTAATATCGAGTATTTGACTAACGATGTTCATCCGTATCTTAGCTATGAAACATAGTATAACACCACTGTTTGGTTATATATTATTCTAATTGTCGGTTTCACCCTCTTCCCGCCCCCCCCATCCCCCCCCCCCCCCCCCCCCCCCCCCCTCACCCCCTTATTAAATACGCAGTTTAAAGATGCAGTTGCTAAGAAATTTAATGCACAACCGGAGCAATTATGTTTGATATTTGCTGGAAAGATAATGAAAGATCATGAGAATCTAACAAATCACAATGTCAAAGATGGTCTAACAGTACACCTGGTCATAAAAGCACCGCGAAGTACTACGAGTCAAAATAATCAGGATAGCACGCCTCAAAGATCGGCAGGTACTCGATATAAACGCATGAATTTTTATTCTCTAAATGCCACTTATATGTTAAGTAAAGCTTATCGAATTTACATTTAATATTCCTAGCTGACATAAATATGTCACCATTTGGATTGGGTAGCCTGGGTGGTTTAGTTGGCTTAGAAAATCTTGGACTTGGTTCAGCAAATTTTGTCGAGTTACAGCAAAGAATGCAAAGAGAATTGTTAACAAATTCCGAAACTCTTAGACAAGTTTTTGATAATCCACTGGTACAGAGTTTTTTGAACGATCCCGAGAATATGCGTACTTTGTTACTTGAAAATCCTCAGATGCAAGACTTGATGCAACGTAATCCAGAAATCAGTCATATGTTGAACAATCCGGATCTTCTTAGGTGAGCATTCTGTGTCATTCGTTTAGAATGGAATGCAAAGTGCGCCTATATTATCAATACATTTAATCATATCAACTGATGCACGATTAAAAATTTTTTTTATAGACAAACTATGGAATTAGCTCGCAATCCATCGATGTTACAAGAACTAATGCGATCTCACGATCGGGCACTATCCAATCTTGAAAGTATTCCAGGAGGCTACAGCGCACTAAGACGCATGTATAGAGATATTCAAGAGCCAATGTTAGCTGCAGCGGCTAATGAAAGAAACCCCTTTGCCGCCTTAGTAGAAAATAGTAATGCAGATTCGCAAAATCCACAACAAGGTCAAGAAAATAGAGATCCATTACCAAATCCTTGGAATCAAGGACAAACTGATACACCGAATACTGGATCCCAGTCAACTGGAACCGGTACAGGAAGTACAAGAGGTTTTTTGGATATACCAGGAATGCAAGACTTTGCGTCACAGGTGCTAGACAATCCCACTCTTATGCGCAATTTGATGAATGCTCCTTACACGCGTGCCATGCTAGAAACTATGGCTGCAGATCCAGAAACAGCGAGCAGAATAATATCTGCAAATCCATTTTTGAGAAATAATCCACAAATGCACGAACAAATGACAGCTATGATGCCTACATTAATTCAGCAAATGCAAAATCCACAAATGCAAAATATCATTACCAATCCTGATGCTATGGCTGCTGTAATGCAAATTCAGCAGGGTATGGAGCAGCTTCGAACTATTGCACCAGACTTAGTTGGAAAGTAAGTTTAAAAGCTATTTAATACTATTTAAATATTAAAAATTTTGTCTAATATTACGTTTATCATTTGTCCTCCCAGTATGGGGTTAAACGTTCCTCCTAATCCCACAAATACAACAAGTGCAACTCCCACAACAAACGCCACTCCTACAACTGGCCAACAACAAGCTCCGCAGGTTGACATACAAAATCAACAAGAAGCATTCTCTCGATTTATGACGCGAATGGTAAATTAATTAATTACTTAATTAAACTCGGTAAATTTTATTTTAACTTATTAATTCTGGTTAATATTCTAATAATGAATCTAATAATATAAACGATACTTGGCATGACGCAAATTAAAGTTATTCAAACAGTCATAATAATGATAATGATAATATTTTATATGTAGATTTCAGCCGTAGGTCGAAATCAAGGAGCTGAAGTTGATGGGCAACTTCCTCCACCAGAAGAACGGTACAGAGCACAACTAGAGCAATTAACGGCAATGGGTTTTGTTAACAGAGATGCAAATTTACAAGGTAATATTCATTTTGTTATAATTAGAATTCATGTATTTGATATTAATATTTTTACGCAATTAAAGAGTTAATTAAAAACCTTGGATGAACAACATAAGGATAAAATTATTATAAAATATTTTTCAATTTAAATACAGTTTTATAAGAATTTTATTTTTTCTCCAGCATTGATTGCTACGTTCGGAGATATAAATGCTGCCGTTGAAAGACTATTGGCCAGTGGACAAGTATCTATGAGCTAACCACCATCTAGCAATGCTGTTATTCCATTATAAATAATAATTTTCCTTACTTTCCCAATTGCATCAGACAAGGTGATAGATAACTTGAAGTAGCTTTTGACTGTCCAAACTTATAAGAAAAATTTTATTCCTGCTAACGTTGACAGAATACACGCTACTTTTTTTCATTCATTGTGCATTTTCTTTTTCTACTTAATATATACTTGTATCGATTCGAATCATGCAAGCATTGTAAAATGTTAACAAGTTTCGTTTCACCTGTCTATTATTTGATGTGCTATAGAGCTATATAACTGTATTTACATCTTTGATTTGGAGAAAATTTATATTTTAATTAGCTTGCTGTTATATTTGTGAGACGAAGTCATTAGACATTTTTAAATATACGTGTTTAGTTGCTTAATGTAATTTGCATAAATTGTATGAAAAGAAAGGAGATGCGATTTTCATTTTTTACTTTTAGTAAAGTTTGGAAATAACTGTAAGTTTTGTCAAATTAATTATCCAAATTACGCAAATAATACAATTTTTATTTAAGTGATAATAAAGTGCTATAAAACTTAACAATTTTGTCTTGAAATTACGTAACGTGCAAATTAAAAATGACATTTTATATATACATAGGTGAACATTCGCATATGTATGCACGTATGTGTGCATATACGCGTGTATATATATATATATATATGCAATCCCACGCGTACGTGTATTTGTGTGCGGGCGTCAACGTGTGTATACATGTATTTGCATTTTTTTGCAATTACTTTCAAAAATCTTGCATGGAATATGGCTTAAAATTTATTTTATTTGAGTGAATTAATTCATTTAATGCAAAAAAGATTCGGAACACAAATTTAAGAAACTCTTTTGCTTTTTTAGCGTATGAATCGCGTAACTTTTTTTTTTCCAAGCTCTTGAATTATGCTGTATAAGAGACAAATCTCCCGCGATATTATTCCAAATGAATATGCAAATGCAATTAACTATTCGGTTAGGGAATTTGATATAACAATTGATCCAAGATGAAGAAAAGAAAAAAAGGCGAAAGCATCATAAATACAATGCAATAAAATAAATTTTACATAACGTATGTAACGTAGGGGTTGAAGAAACCAATATAACTAATTAATCAATAAAGGGTAATTTTCTTTAATAATTTTATAGGTGGAATAGTAAGAGGCAGTATTCTTAAATAACGAATGCCCATAGTAAGCCCTTGTCGAAGAATTCACAAAATTTTTCGTGAAACGAGAATCTGGCTTTGAGTTTTTAAAAACATTTATTTATCTAATAAAGGCTCTTTTAAAGTAATGTCGATAGCGTCGTTGAATTTTTTTTTTTTTTTTTTTTTTTTTTTTTTTTTTTTATGTGGCGCACACACATTATTCTGAAAATTTTTTATTTTGTTAAATTATTTTGTGAAAGTTAAAATTTTATGAATCATCAAAAAATTACGTGACCATTTTTTTCAAGCCTTTCTAATTCAGATACTTAGAGCTAATACAAAGTCGTCACAATTTTGTCTTTTAATATTGTTATTATTATTGCATCAGACCCCCTTTTTGATCTAATTTTCACGGTGTCTTACGATTAGTTTATTTGTCGTGGGCAATATGCATATTATTATTGTTGATATTATTCAGCTATAAAATGGTATCGACCAACAAATAATAAGCATGCACGCCTCTCGTATTACAAATTTTTAAACTTGTAGTGTGACGATCATTTGGAGGAGGAATTTATGGCGTAGGGTTGTTATAAGTGAGCATGCCTAAAGGTCGTATATGCAATCATATATATATATATATATATATATATATATATATATATATATATATACACACACATACACACACACAACGCATATAAAAAAAAAAAAGAAAAAAAAAAGAAATAATAAATAAAAATTAAAAAAAAAAAAATAAATAAATAAATATATATCACATGTGAATGTGTTACATAGGGAAGAAACTTAATTGTCAACCTAACATTTAAGGATAATAGTATGGAAATCAGCTAGACAAACGTGAATGTTATAAATTATCTTTATTGATAAAAATGATTATTTTAATATTTATGATTGGCATATGTGCCTAAATGAAATGTTCATGCGCATTGTATTACCATTTATCGCATAAATTCACTGCAGCAAAATATTGTGTAATATGAATAAAATTATGGTTGATTCGTACTAATTAGCTGAAATTATTGCTCAAGTATCCTCGGATCTTGTACAAATCACAAAATATACAACTACTACATTATCGTAAATGGCAGAACAATTAAATTATCAGTGCCCCTATCATTATCTTTTTTTCTCAATAACGAATATTACTCAAGTGGATGCAAATTTTCACGTGGTCCTTTCACCATAAGAATAATTCTCCATCAAGATCAATGTGAATTATTCGATAATGCATGTACACGGACAGGGCCGTCCTCGTAAGTCCATACCTCGAAGATTATGCCCTGAGCACATTCGCATTACACGCATCGGGACTCGCTTAAGATACGTTAAACGACGAATATGAATTCGTACAATGATTAAAAGCAACAACAAGGACTATGCGGATAAAAAAGGGAATCGATCGCAATGTAAAAATAGACAATTCGACAAGCGAAGTAGTCTGTAGTTGTAGGACAAGGGCATAATAATAATGAGCAACGTTAAAATAGATGTCGAAGAGTCTGGGGGAGCGGAAACTTTAAAGAATGTTAAGCATTTGGCCGAGAGAGAATCCGAATCCGAATCCAAATCCTCGAGTGGCTCGGCAAGAACTGCCACGACCAATAGTTGTTTATTGGCTCTTGGGGACGGATGAAGAGGTAAAAGGAGAAGTTACGCGACCAAAACGCCACGCTGTTAAATTAAGATCATTCAAGTGCGGCGTAAGTGCGACACCTTTCGAGGCTTAGAGGAATGGGACGTTCGTGCGCGCGTGCGTGCGTGCGTGCGTGCGTGCGTGCGCGGCGAAGGGGCGAAGGGACGAGGGGCAGATGGTGTCGGGTGATATTAACGAGGCTAGGGCGTTGTTGGGAGGCGCCACCTGGTGCCGACCGGCATCCGTTGCAGAGTTCAACTGTTGAATGTGGCGCGACGGCGGCGGCGGCGGCGGCGGCGGCGGCGGTGACGGTGACGACTGCGGCGGCTGCGACGGCTGCGACGGCTGCGACGGCAACGGCAGTACCCTACACTCGAAGTGGCGGTGGTGGCGATGGTGATGGTGGTGGTGGTGGTGGTGGTACGGTACTCGCGCCGACTCGAGCAGACGGCAGTCGACGCGCGGCCGAGTGCTCGATCAACGCGAGGTAATTGGTGTATCGGTATTGACCGCCAGAATCTAAAGATCGCGTTCGGGGCGCGAGCGGCCGGTTTCTTTGGAAACGAAGAGGATTAAGGAAGGTGGAAGCGACGTGGAGAGTAGGAGGGACGACGACAGCGGCAGTACCGCGCTGGTACCCGTAGTTTTTGGCGAAACCGGAACAGGAGATCCACCTGGATGTCGGGCCCGCGATAAGTGACAGTGCGGTGTTGTGGCCAGGCGGCGGCGGGGCCCCGCCACAAACA